AGGCAAAAGGAGCAATTGCTCCTTCCCATTCAAATTCAAATCCGAGCCTGAGTGAGGATGGGGGAAACAAACTTATCAGAAGCCCTGAGGTTCGGTATTTCCCCATCTCAGACTGGTTCCTGCTGTATCCAACTCCCCCTGAGTCCCACTGAGGCTGCAACCAGTCCTACCCTCCAGCAAAACCAGCGTGCCCAGGGGATCCGTGAGGGAGCTCCTGCTTTGCTGACAATGAAGAAGCTCCGTGTGGCCTCAGTCTGCACCTGAGTTGGTCCCGCTGTGCCCCATGGGTGTCCACAACTGTCACAGCGAGCACAGCCCAGCACACTGCCCCAGTGACACCTCTGCCCGCAGCACACCAGCACCGCGGCACAGCACTGAACCCACGCGGGGTTTCCCATATGTCTCCTGCTTGATATTACGGTTTGGGGAAGGGGAGGGAAGGAAGAACACCAAAAAAATGCCACCTCTCACTGCACAGCCCTGCCCAAGGGCAGAGGAGAAGGTGGAGAGCAGCCACCAGCTTGGCAGCAGCGACTGTGCCGTGGTGCTGGGAGGCTGAAGGGAAGGAAACGCTCGCAGGCTGTTCAGGAGGGAGCTGCTGGCAGGGGAAAAGCATCCCTGTGTCTAGGAGCAACGTCATGAGCTACATGGGAGAATGGCTGTTAGCGCGGCTTGCAGGGGAGGGTGCACTACAGGGCCTCTAGAAGACCCTCTGGGCAGCATGGCTGTCGCTGTGTGATGCCAGCAAGGATCGAGTCCAGCCAAGGACAGCTCAGGAAGGGCTCTTCCTTGGGTAGCAGGTACTGGGGACTCACTGGGCTCAGCACTGATGGATCAACATCTTTGACAGTGCCATGGCATTTGCTAGTGGTGTTAGATCAGACTGTGGGACTGACATCCCTGGCTCGATCTTACTGACAAACAGCACGACCATGCTTTGATGTTCCAGTTCAGCTTCACTTTCCGTGAATAGGCATCTAGCATGCTCCACCACATCAAATCCTGCCAGAGTTCCTGCTTACACCTGGACTGGAGCTTCAGCACAGAGAATACTCCCAAAACCCCAGCTAGATAATGCAGGGGAAACCTCCATGTGATATTCTTGTGATCCCTGATGCTATGTGCCTTGAAATAGATTATATTTTAAAATCCTGGCAGCTCTCTACCAATGTCTTTGCACATCAGTGGATTTGCTCCAATTGAGCTGGACCAAAGCAGTTCCTGGGTGCAGGAAGTCCCCAGAAGATGACTTTCCCACCTGCTGCTTTTTGGTGTCACTGGACACCTTCATCTGGTACATGATGGGGCAGAGTGACACAGCTCTGTCCCACTCCACTCACCGAGTCCATGCCACCTCCAGCACTGAGACACCAAAGCACCACACAGCTTCTTAGCTGCACCACCTCAGCATCTGCTGAGCATCTGGGGGCCCCTGTCTGGGCATATCCCAGACCTTGGTGGGGGCCTGACTCCAGAGACGAGGGTCACAGCATCACCTGGTGAAGCTCTGCGGCTTAGCTCTGGCTTGGCCACGAGGAAGTGCTGCTGCTCCAGTTTCACCTGTGATGCCATTAAAATAAAAATGAAAAAGGAGAGAAGAGGAGTAGAACATGCATGTCAGGGCAGATCTGCAGAGAGTACCCACAGAGCAGCGTGAGTGTGCACAGAGTGGGGTGAGTGTGCAGGGTGAGTGCACACAGAGCAGCAAGTATGTGCACAGAGCAGGGTGAATGTGGATGTGTACCCAGTGCCGGCGTGCACAGAGCAGCAAGTATGTGCACGGTGGGGTGAATGTGCACGTGTGCACAGTGCGAGCACGTACAGAGCAGCAAGTATATGCACAGAGCAGGGTTAGCATGCAGGTGTGCACAGTGTGAGCATGCACAGACTGGTGTGAGTGAGCACAGGAGAACACATGCAGTGCAGAGCGAGCGTGCACAGAGCACTGGGACAGCTCTGTCAGGTCCCAGGTGAGAACAAAACCTGCAAATCTGTTCAAATGGTTCAGATGCGGCCAGGTTAAAATTTGGTGGTGACAAGTGCTCATGGGTAAGATGTAAAGAATTAATTAAAGATGCAAATTGGTCCTTTCCCTGAGAATAAATGTGGAGCTTCCCCTGTCTGGCATCCTCACCACCAGGCTGCACCTGACCCTGCAACAGGTTTCTCGCCAACTCTCCTGTTAATGGTTGTGTTGTTCAGAGATCGCTTTGTTTTGCATGGAATAATTAATTATGCACCACAGTGCAGGGCGGGGTGAGGGTGGGGTGAGAGCAGGGCTGCGCCAGTCCTGCCTTTCCCGCATAAACATCAAGCAGGCGATGTGTGACTTGCAGCACAGCACCTGGCTACCCAGATCAGTTTGAATTTTTCTTGCTGTGGCCCTGGGCACCACTGAGGATCTTGCAGAGGGTTTGTCCCGCGGGGCAGCAATCCAGGCTTGGGTGGTCCCATGGGAGGGGGCACCTGCATTTTGGCTCTGGCCTCAGGGAGTACTGTAATAACTCAAGAGGAGGGGGTCCTCTCCAGCTGCCCTGGGGTGGTGCCTCTCTCTTTGGAGGTCTGGGGCTTCGGGGCTTCCTGCAGGCTCAGGAACTCACCACCCGCGCTGAGCAGCCCTGGAAGAACTGAATGGTGATGCTGCATGGACCACCACCCGCCCCAGCCACTCATGGCCCTCTGGCCCCCTTTTCTCATCCATTTTGGATACCTGACGGGTGTGCTACTCCATGGCCTGTGCAGTGGCAGCTTCAGGGGAGCAGGCAGCTGCCGTCCCATGGAGCTAATGCCTGAGGTGGCATTGCTGGGTGCTGGCTGAGGCCCACGGGAGGGAGTGTTGCCCTGTGCACCTCTGTTTTCCAGCTGCGTGAGCACAGTGAGCTGCACTTTAGAGACAGTTGGTACCTGCACTGCCCTCTGACTCTCTCCAGATACAGCCAATACCCTAGAAACCTTCTGGCTTGTGCCGGTGTTAAGTCAGACATTAGTTTTAAAAATAAAACCAGCTCCACTCCAGAGGGGGTCCTGACAAAGACCTTTTTAAAAGTCCAAAATGATTATATCAATTACTGGGAAAGGCAGAAAGTTTCAACTTGCTGTCCACCAGCATCCCAGATCTGTTCCTGCAAAGCTTCCTCCTGCCCCCCGCCTGTCCTATTGCCTGAGGTTATCCTGTGCCAGAGGAAGGACTTTGCATTTGTCTCCATTAAATGTCAGTGGGTTCCTGCCAGCTCATTTCTCCAGCCTGTCAGGGCTCTTTGAATGGCAGCCCTGTCCTCCAGTGTATCGACAGCTCCTCGGTTCGGTGTCTCCTGCAGACCTGCTGAGCGTTCAGGAGACTTACCTGGTGTATGCTGTCCGGCCCCTGTTTGGGGGTCAAATACCTACTCTCTTCCGCCACCCGAGTTTTCTTGAGATGCTGTGTGTCCAGCTGCAAAGTGACAGGAGCGTTGCAGCTGCTTTTTAAAGGCAACCCAGTGCTCCTGTGCACTGATGGAACTGATGTTCAGTGATGGAACACTGAACATCTCTGCCCTGACAGACTTTCTGACAGGTGGTAGAGGCCTGGGGACATGGCGTTGCTGCACTCCTGGGGACAGGAGCCACAGATTTTGCTTGGGGAAGGACCAAGTGGTGAGGTGACGAGGACAAAGCATCAACGCAGGGCTGCAACAGGCGGCACTAATCCTGCCCGGTGCCTCCTCCCAGACCGCACGGGCACGGCAGGGCTGAGGCTCGCACTCCTGCCCGGTCCCCGCCAGCTTTGCCCTCCCGGGCTGCAGGAGGAGGATGCTCGGGCTGACCCAGTCTCCAGTGCCACCTGCCGGCAAATCATCCCGGACAGATGCTGGAGCCTCCGACCCGGCCGCCCCGGTGCCGGGCAAGGCTGGGAGGCACCATCCTGTGCAGCCCAGAGCTGGGGGGCCCTGGACCCATAAGCAGCCCCTAAGAGCTCAGTAACAATGCTTCATAAAAGCCAGCCCATATCCAACTCCCCCCCTCCCCCCAGACCCTTTATCATCTTCCCCTTCAGCCAGCCCCTTTCAAACCCCAAATCCCCACTAAAACTCTCCTACATCCTGAGCACCCCATGTACCTCCTCGCGGCTTCACACCCCACAGCCCTTGGTACCACCTGCCACGGCTGGGCTGGGGGCTGTAGGCAAACCCCCACCCAGGTACAATGCTGGATTGTTACCTGCTCTAGGGGCAGGGACATCCTTGGGGTCCTCAGCTCCTATTCATCTGTAGGTCCTTGGGTCCTTGCATCTCCAGGGGGGCTTGGCTGTGGTGTAGGACTCACATGTGTCCTCTGCTGAGGTTATGGGCTGCTCTGGACCCTGCCCAGCCAGACCAGGGGATAGCTGTGTGCCCCACACCTCTTCCATCATGGCGTCCCCACGGCTTCCCCACATACACCTGGCTCATCTTTTCACAAGCTTTGGCAACCTTCTGTGGATATTACTGTCACCACCACTCCAAAAAAAAGTCTAAGAGAGGTTGGTGTCCCCAGATCTATCGGCCTCAAGACTCTCCAGGACAGCACCATCTCCAGCATCTCCCCATCTCCCACCAGTACCCAGTGGCCCAAATTTTCCCACTATATCATGTTTCTCACTCCCTGCTAGAGACCAGGCTTTATCTCTGTGTTTTTCTAACCCTGGGCTGGCACTTTCTCTAGGTGGCTCTGGAAGGAGATACTCAGCATGGTCTGCAGCAAAAACTGCATGCATTGTAGGGCTCTGCTCAGCAGTAATGAGGAGCTGATGAGCCCAGATTGCACCCAGGGGTGCGGGAGGCAATGCCCTGGGTATCTGAGCATTATTTGAGGGGAAGGAGGCAAATCCTAGGCAGGAAGGAACCAGCAGCACAAGGAGCTGTCATTTAATGCACAAGACTGGCAGCAACATGCTTAGAGCACCAAATCTGTAGCAAAGAGTCATTTCCAGGGGAGTCCTCAGCCCTGCAGGGGCAGCCAGTAGCAGGAGAAGGGCTGCAGAGAGACACCTAAGCCTCAGGGAAGATGAGGAAACCGGAGAAGATGCTGTCAGACCCTTCAATCCCCACCAGGGAGTTCTTCTCCGTTGGCTCCAGCCAGACGGACTCGTTCACTGCCATCTTGAGGACCACACCACCCGTGGTGACCTGGTAGGTGCCGTGCACATAGTCACAGAAGGTCACCATCTTCTCGCCCCTGCTGCCACCCCGGCCCTTTTTCACACTGAGGCAGAGGTTGCCCCTGGATGTGACGTGGTAGGTGAAGTAGTAGATGCCCGGGACCCGGCAGGTGAAGCGGCCGTACCGGTTCTCGTAGTGGCCCTTCTCGTTGGTGATGATGCGGTCGAAGCGGATGGGCAGGTCCCGGCGTGGGTAGGAGCTGACGGTCCTGGCGGCAGAGAAGGCGGACTTGAGGGTGGCCTTGTAGTCACCGGAGTCCCCCTGAGGACCAGGGGGTCCCATGGGACCTGGTAATCCCTTTGAGCCTGGGGGACCCCTTGGTCATTCCTGGCTCTCCCTTCTCCCCCATGTCTCCTTCGTGCTCCACCTGGCCAGGGGGACCTAGAAAGTAGGAGAAGGAGTCATTGCAGTTACAGCTGAGCCCCACAGGTCTGCAGGGGGGCACTGGGAAGGAAAGCACTGGTACCTGTGCTGGGGTGTGGGTCAGAGGAGACCCCTGCCCACCTGGCAGGCATGACACCCCTTGCTCTCATGCACCCTCCCTCCCCAGCTTCCTTGGGGTGTTCTGGTCTGTCCAACCTCTTCTGTCCACGAGCATCACCCCCACCTGGTAACACCCCAAAGGGACTGGTGGAAAATGGATTGCTTTCCCAGAATCATATGCCTGCAGCCTCCTCCTTACCTTGTTCACCCTTTGGGCCATTCTCCCCGTCTCTGCCATTGCTGCCAGGCTGTCCTGGTGACCCTGGGATGCCTGGGATGGTGCCATAGGTCCTGCAAAGCGTGGCACTTGCAAGCTGCCCTCCAGCCAGGCAGATCAGCATTGCCCACACGATCTGCATCTGCTGGAGCACAGAAGGATGTTGAGGGACTTGGGCAGTGGGAGGGATGGGGAGGGCACTCTGTGCAGCTCTGGAAGATGACGCCTAGAAACACTTCTGGGTAATACCATCAGTGAGGGAAAACATCCTGCTGCAAAGCCAAATCCACCTTCCTGATGGCCATGGAGGGACCAGCCCCTTTGGGCATGGGAGATCTTGCTAATCTCTTCTCACTCTTAAATTACTGGTTTACAAGTGCTCAGAGCTTCAGCTACATGAATGTTGGGGGACAGGTTAGCCTGTCCCAAAGGTCTGATATCCAGCCTGGCTGTACTGCTGCCACGGACATGTGCTGCTGGCCCCTGCTGTTCTGAGTCCCCACTGCGCCCTCGGAGGAGAAATTCTCCATCCCATCTTAGGACCACAACTGTAGAGTAAAATCCTTCCCCAGGCCAAAGAAGTTTCATCATCTGCAAGGGGATAGCTCTTGCTTTCCACCAGCATATCTGAGGGACAGCTTTTGTCCTTGCAGGTGGCAAAGAAATCCCCAAACTTGCCCTCCTAACTCCTGTGGCTTCTCGTTGTGTCCTGCCGCGTGCCTGCTTCATCCCAGGAGCATTTCTGTATCTGACCAGCCTTACTGGGACAGTCATATGGGCTTCCAGTCCCTGGGGTCCCATCTTCCTTCTGCCCTCCCTGCATCCCACGGCTCAGCTCGTTCCCCCACCTCCTGGTGTAGGTGCATGTGGGGTAAGCACTGGGCATTTGTGGGCTGTATCTGGACATCACATCACCCCAGCCACATTCTCTGGCCTCAGGTGGACTTTCCCAGCACTGAAACTCTGGTGTCAGCAGGAAAAGAGGCCGGTGAGCCGGATCCTTCAACTGCAGCATCTCTGATTCAGATGCGTCAGGTACAAGGACTGATCCACAGGCTCCCAGCCCAGGCCCAGGCAGATGACAAAAGCTTCTCCGGGCAGGAAAGCACCCCCAGGGCACCTGTCAGACTGACACTCAGTCCCTGTTCACCCCTCTGGGCCTTTGCCATCTCTCCTTTCCCTCCCCAGCCTCCCCTGGGGGGGCAGGAGGGGTCAGGGTCCCACCAGGGATCTCCACCACCCCCAGCCCAGCGGCCCCCTTTCTCTTCTGCCACAGTGAAGTGCCAGGGATGCAGGGGGTGACTGTGACCCTGGTGCTGCTGGGTTCCCCGTGTGCTCCTGCCTGCAGGGGACAGCTGGGTCTCAGCCTTGCCAATAGCTTGCTCTTACCTTGAACGTCTCGTTGCACGGACCAGGAGATGGAGCAGGACACACCAGCGTCCTGATTGGAAATGACCACGGGGGGAAGCAGAAGTTTGCTGCAAGGGCTGTTGTGAAAGGATCTAGGCCACATCCCTTTTTTATCTTTAGCTCCTGCCCTTTCCTCAGTAGCACTTCCACATCCACCATGAATGCTGTCTGCCAGGTCAGCAGGACATGCCGTCCCCAAACGGCACTCAGGGCCCCCTCAAGCATACAGCTCTGGCCCCGGGGAGCAGAGGGATGTCTGCTCTGCCCTGCAGGGACCCCGGGTCCTGCCCAGGTGTGCTTGCTATGGGAAATGCTGCTGTGGGCTCCAGACAAGTATGGGGTAACCCCTCAGGGCTGCAGAAATGTGCATGCACTTAGCTAGCATCCCTCAGGGTTCTCCGCACATACCCAGCTCTGCTGGGAGGTATTGGCAGGTCCAGAGGATGCTACAGGGTCTCAGCATCCATAACCTTGAATCTGTCCCCAGGATCTCCTAAATGTTGTGGGTGGGAAATGATTTCACTCTGCGATAAAAGCATTTCCAGTCCTGCTTTCTGCTGATGCCTTGTGGAGGTGAAGCACAGGATGTTCAGGGGAGATGACCTCTTTTTTCACTGTACAATGTAGAACCACTGGGTTTTGGTGGGCTCTGTAGCCTCCACAGCCATGAGCTCCTTTGGTCTGACTCTGGGAAGCCAGTGCTTTGCCTGCCTTGTCCCTGGTGAGGTGCGGATGTGCCAGACACCAGACGCATGGCTATGAGGTTTGCTGGGTGGTCGGTAGCCCTCTCCAACTAAATTCCATCCACTTGGAGAAGGGGAATATCAGGACCCCTGCTTGGAGGAGTCTTGGTCTCCCCTACAAGGTTGGACCCTTGTGCATGGGCACGGGAACTGTCCCCTTCCTGCAGTCAGTGCAGCTGGGGGTCCTGCCCCACCAAGCAAAGCCGGGGTTGTGAATGGTGTGTAATGCTCACTGATGCTGAGCACAGCCAAGCCAGCGAGGGCTCGGGGATGTTCTGATGCCATGCTGACACCCAGGTGGAGCCCACACATGCACACCACATCCATCCGGCTACATGTGGGCTCCACCTGCAGAAAGGCAAGTTGTAGAGGAAAAAACAAATGAGGCCATGCACAATGGGGAAGGTTTTATTGACACTTTCCACGGCTGGGTTATGGCAAAGGGGCTGCTGCAAGCCTGCTCCAGGACACCTGGCTGTCCCTGGTGCAACCCAGGTGGGAAGGGGAGAGATGCAGAGAGACCTCTGGCTCTGGCAGCACATAATGTGGGTCTATCAGGGTGAATGCATGTGGCAGTGCCAGCAGGACCCCAGGGGCTCGGCACCATCACTCTGGGCGCAGATGCATCCAGAAGTGCTTGTTCCCCCCATTCAGCAGCTGCCTGTGTGCGGACCGCAGGCCAGGGGGTTGTGTCTGGTGGTTGGGACTGACCCCCTTGCAGGGGCTTCCAATCCAGCAGAGAAACCTGGAGCATCAGCAACAGCCTGGCAGTGAGCAGCAGTGTTTGCAGAGCAGAGTGAAGAGGTCAGCGCGCTGGGGTGGGGTCTGGTGGTCCTCTAGTCCAGGAAGAGCAGGAAGCCTGAGAAGATGCTGTCGGAGTTGCCAATGCCCACCATGCCATTGTAGTCATTCACCGCCAGCCAGACCTGGTTCCCAGCACCCAGGCGGAGGAGGATCCCACCAGAGCTGACTTGCATGGCGTTGGTCTTGTGGTCACAGAAGCTGGCCATCTTGTTCCCGTCCTTGTACAGGATGATGCAGAGGTTGGCGGTCTGCGAGGTGTGGAAGATGAAGTAGTAGAGGCCGGGGAGCTTGCAGGTGAACTTGCCCGTGGTGGTGTTGTAGTCATGGTTGGTGTTGGTGATGACATGGTTGAACACCACAGGGACGTTCTTGAAGGGATACTCGCCCGTCTGCCTCGTCACTGAAAACGCTGACTGGTGTTTCTGCTTGTAGCTGCCTGGCATACCTGGCTCTCCAGCCGTGCCCATCATCCCAGGGTCTCCGGGGGGACCAGGGGGACCGATGGGGCCAGTCTTGCCTGGCAAGCCTGGGCTGCCCGGTTCCCCTTTCATGCCCTTAGGCCCTCGTGTTGCAGGAGTGGCCGGGATGCCTGTGGGGCGGTGGGGAGTGAAAGGGACTCAGCATCAACAGCAGGACATGGGGAGAGGCTCCTCCAGCCCCTTCCCTTGGGCAGAAAAGGGTTGTTGCCTCTCTCCAGCCTCCTTTCCTCCTGCCCTGTCCACAGAGGATGCTCTCCATGGCCTGCAAACCAAGGCAGACTGGCCACAGAGGACTCGATGGCCCCCCTTCAACATGGTTCCCCTCCCTGCTCACTCACCTGGCTCGCCTTTGGCTCCCTTCAGCCCATCCCGGCCATCCTTGCCTGGCACACCCGGCATGCCTGGCAGGCCTGGAACCCCATAGCAGCTTTTGGGGGCATCTCCAGTCACAGCAGACCCCTGAATCAGGAGTAGGAGGGCGAGGACCAGATGAAGCTGCTCCCAGAAGCTCTGCCCCATTTTGGTGCTCTGGAGCATGGAAAGGGAAAGAAAGTGCTGAGGTGAGGGGGCACGGCAGGGAGGCTTCCAGGCAATGGGGCAAAGGAGGTCCTGTGCTATGAGGCTGACTGCACCAGGAGCACCTGGCTGTGATGACTGTGCCCTCAGTATCCCCCACATATTAATTGCCAGGCAGAGGGGAGGTGGATATGTGGACCATGGGCAGCCCCTGATGGCACAAGGGAAGTTTGACTTTCTGTCTGGATTCAGCCATGCGGTCTTGCAGTACCCACGGCCATCCCCAAGCTCTCCCAGTCCAGTGTCCTGAACCCCCTGCAGACACATACGCTGCTGCAGACCTTTGCACCATGCTGCACTGACGCTGGAGCTCCCTGGACCCAGCTGATCCCACCCCTCCTCCAGCAGCAGACTGACTTTCCTGGCTCTGACCATCAGGATCAAGCCCCACACCAGGTGGGGATCTCCCAGGACAGTGCCTGGCCCAGAGGACTGGGTCTTCCCCCAGCATAGAGAAGCATGCATCCCCCACCCCATGACATATGTGCAGCTTGGCAGTGCCTCTGTCTCCTTCTCCTCCTCCTCTCACGTAGCCAAGTGCTGCGCCATGCTGCTGGATCCCTAGTCCCCATGCAGCCCACCTCAAAGACATGGACCCTGAAGCACCTCTTACCTCTGTTGAGGGGATCAGGGCACGGGACCCTGCGCTGCTGAGCCCTCTGGCTGCTGTTGGCACTGCCTGCCGGCACAGCCTGGTGCGGGTGACTCTCCGTGACACCCTCCCAGAGGAAGTCACAGAGTTAGGAAAGGGCCCTTGGGGACCCAGAACCCTCATCTGGCCCCCAGATGAGTTTCACATCCTCCTGCCTGTTTCCTCTGAGCAAGCACTTTCCTGGCTGTCCAGCGAGACCTGTACTTGGGCCACTGCAGCAGCAGGGGCTGAAAGGACAGAGGTGGGATAAGCCTCTGCCAAAGAGATGTGCCGCAAACCTTCCAACCACCATGGGAGCTAGCCCTCTGCAAATCACCTGCCTTTCTCTCATCCTTAACTCATTTCTGAGCAGAAAGGCAGGGAGTGGATGGGGAGCAGAGCTTCATGCCAGCTCCGTGGAGCCAAGTCATTTCCTGGTTCTGATGGGAGATGCTGCACCCCTAGGCAATGGGACTGGAGGACGTTTCTCCTTCAGGGTTTCTGACCTGCTGGCTGGCTGTCCTCTCTGCACCTGGCCCTGTGTTCCACCAGCTCTGCTGGGTGCTGGATTTGCTGGGGCCCCAGCATCCCTGGTTGGGGTGTTGCTCCTTGCAGGTGACCTGGCCTCCTCCTCACTGCTCCAGGAATGGAGACATTTGACTGCCCAACATGTGTGTAGCAGCTCCTCCGAGCAGCAGTCCCAGGATATGGCACCTATGTGGCTTCCGTGATGCTTTCTGGCTGCCTGACAGCTGCCCAGCCTGCCGTACTGCCCACTAGTCTCACCCCAAGCCAAAGAGAGTAGAGCATCGCCTCACAACTCCACCACCATCACCCCACAACCCCATCAGCCACCCTGATGTCCCTGTCGCTCCTTGCTGAAAGGCTGGAGAACCACAGCTGCCTTTCCTCTTCCTGGGAGAGTTTGGGCACCAACAGAGGACTGTGTGGGTGAGGTGCATGAGCCATCGCCTGTGTTTACCCTCACACAGGGCAGCTAGCTGGGACTCATCAGAGAAAGGACACACATAGGCTAGTCCCAGCAATTTCCCATTCCTCCCTGTAAGTGCCAGCTCTGCTTGTACACTCAGTTCCTTCCTGTCCTTCTGCCTTTGCAGTTGGGGTCTGTGCTTGGCCAGGGTCAAGCTGGGGTCACTTCTTTCCATGGGCAGCTTGGGAAGAGTCCCAGGACATTGATGGTTTGGGGAAGACATATGGATAGGAAAGAAAACCCAAGCGGCTGTTGTGGAAGAAGGGTTTATTTATACTGATGGGGAGGATGTGAGAGGCCAAAGTGGCCTGGCGCAAGACAGGCGTTTGCAATGGTTAGTGCAGCAGCAGCAGTGGCACGCAGTGATTTCCCACTCAGGAATAAAGACCAACAACTGGTGAACGGCCCCAGTGACAGCTGGTCCCCTCCAGTGTGGGGTCTGAGCACCCAGCAGCAGAAAGGGCTGCCGTGGCTGAGTCCTCTGCCTCCAGGACGGAGTGGGCAGGCTCAGCACCTGGCCACTGTGTGACAGTGGTGGAAGTGCAGGATCCAGCTGGTGGCTCAGTTTGGGGCTGTCCCAGTTTGATGCAATATAAGGCCACCCCATGCATTCGCAGGGTGAAAACACATGCAGAGACGCACACTGCAATGCTCTGGTGCTAAGCAGGTCTGGACTGGTGGTCCATCAGCCCGTTTGTGGGAAGAGCATGAAGCCACTGAAGATGCTGTCTGCCTCTGAGCCGCTGTAAATCGAGCTGCCCCTGGCAGGGTCGGTGCTCACAGACACCCGGTCGCCCATGGCCAGGCTGAGCACGCTGCTGCCCGAGTTCATCTGCAGGATGTTGCGGCTGTTGTAGTCGCAGAAGCTGACCACGCGCTCCCCGTTCTTGGTGATGCTCAGGCAGAGGTCCCCGCTGGAGACCACCTGGTAGGCAAAGTAGTAGAGCCCAGGGACGAGGCAGGTGAACTCCCCAGTCTGGGGGCTGTAGGAGCTCTCCTGGTTGGTGATGATGTTGTCAAACACCACTGTCCTGCCCCTGGACGGTGGGGACCTCCGTGAGGCAGAGAAGGCAGGACGCGGCTGCTCCAGGATATTGCCGGCTTTCCCCTTGTTCCCCTTTGGCCCCGGCAGGCCTGAGAACCCAGGGGGGCCACGCAGACCATGGTAGCCCTGGTTCCCTGGGATGCCGGGAGGCCCCGGCTCACCTGCATCCCCTTTGAGTCCCTGGATGCCCGTCCTCTGTGTTGATTTCCCTGGAGAGAGGTGGTGGTGAGGAGCAGTTCATGCGCATCTGGCATCTCCCAACCTGTTCCCACAGCCCGTGATTCTCCTGCCAAGAGGCTTGAGGCTCTCAGGCCACCCGCACTGTGCATCCCCAGCTCCCCCTTACCTGGCTCTCCCACGTCACCCTTCTGCCCTGGTCTCCCGTCAAGGCCAGGGATTCCCGGGAAGCCATCCCTGCCATCTGGTGCCCGACACACGCCATCCTCAGGCAGGACCGTGCCCAGCATTGCTGCCAGGGTGCTGGTCACCAGCCAAAGCCCGATTTGCATCCTGCCTCCCTGCAAGCACAGGGGCCGGGGAATTGGGGATGGAGGCAAGCACACAGCAAACACACAGATGTACCTTGGACATAGACACACAAGCATTAACATGTGCTCTTGTCCAGACCTATGGATATGTGCAATGCAGGCACAGCTGTGTGCTCAGACATGCGTGCATGCACAGATCTACCACGCCACCCATGTGTTGTCCAATACAGGTAGCCAGACACCATGTGCAATGGTGAAAATAAAATAACTTCATGGAAGGATATTGCGACTGTTTCATTGCATGATCTGAAATCATCGATGTTACTGAAGATCTGACATGTGCCCATGGCAGAGCTGTGGGGTTGGAGAGCCCAGGACGTGGAGCACGGCATAAACCCCGTGGTGCATGTCCTGGGGATGGGTGGCTGCACATCAGATGTGTGCAGGGGATGCTTCTTCCAGTGTTGGGGGAGCAAGCACTGATGTACGGGGCAGTGGTCCCGTGGGACGGAGAGCATAAGTGAGAAAGGGGTGCAAAGAGACACAACAGAGGAGGGATAAACAGTAAAGGGATAAACGGGCAAGAAGGATTGAGATCCGCAACACACAGAGCTGGGAGAGAGGAGGGATGTCCTGACACACAGACCTACCTCAGAACCTGAGGTACTCAGCCCAGGACAAACCTGCAGAGCCCAGAGTGTCCATATGGAGCAAGGACAGATTCCTGCAGCCCCCTCCCCTGCCCTGCATCATCTTCTCCCCCTTTTCCTACTTTAAACCCTTGTGGAGGGGGGAAGTGAAGAAAGGAGGGGGACAGGGAGCAAGGACCGGAGAGTGGTGGCAGAGGAGGCATGTGTCCCCAGCTGTTTGGGGTGACTTACCTCCTTGCTGGGGGTGAAGACAGACCAGTCTGAGCAGCAGTTCTGTTTGCTGGAAGCTCTTCCCTGGGAGCAGGGAGGAAGAGGAGCAGGGTGGGGGGGATGTACTTGCATGCATGATGGTTTGCTTGGTTGGGGAAGAGAAGTGCCAAGTTTCGCTTTCTCTGCAAGACAGAGAAACTTGTTCCCCTTTCTGCACTCAACCCTGGCTGTGCTGGTCACAGCCAGGGAACAGCTTGGTCAGCAAAAGTGCAGGATCGCAGGGTTCCCAGCCTGGCCCAGCAGCACGGTCCCCACAGCAGGGACGGGTGGTGACTGGGCACAAAGCCACACAGAGGTGGAGGGTGCTCAAAGGCGTGCCACAGCTCTGTCACTGCAGGAGGGGACAGGCGATGTAAGCCCTAGGTGACTTACATCCAAGGGATGCTCGGTGAGGCCCAGGGATCGCTCTTGATGGCTCCTGGTCTGGGCGATGGGCAGAGCGTGGTTGTCACTGGTACCCAGCCTTGTCATGGCTGCTGCTGGGGACTGACCTCCCCCCAAGATGCCCACATTGGCACCACACCCTGATGGAGCAGGGCTCCAGAAAAGAGATTGTCAGTGCATGTGAAGTTCAGCAAGGCCTAAACATCCTTGATGAGACATCTCCTGCCCTCTCTTCAGTGGTTTGGGGACCTTGTCTCTGCAGTAGAGCAGGAGGAGATGGGGGTCTCCGGCACCCAGGTTGCTCCCAGTCCCCTTTGAGTGGCTGTGCCTTGCACCAACCAGACCTGAGCAACCCCAAGAGCTATACGTGCCCTGACTCAGACCTGCAAAATTAAAAAGCCAATGCCTCACACCACCCAGCCCAGGGAGGGTGCCCAGGGATGTGCATTCAGCTCTGCCACAAAGGAGCCTCAAAATGCCACCGGTACCCAAGCCCCACTGCAGCAGGGAGCAGAGGGATGAGACGTGCCACAATGACCCCAGCAGGTGAACATCCTTGGGACACTGGGGACCATCCAGGTCACCCCGTGGTCAGCTAGGAGGGGTTTCTGGTCCATGCCCACCTGGAGTCTCCTTTCAGGAGTCCTGTGGCAGCTGCACCGACCTTCATGAGAAAGCAGCGTTGGTGTCCCCAAAGCAAACACAGCAGCAGCTCAAGCTCAGGGAAGGATGTTCAAGGAAAGATGACAATGTGCAGGCCTGGATCAGGGTGGTCCCAAGGCCAGGGAGGCTGGCAAACCTTCCATTCCCCCTGCCCACTACCTCTAGTGGTCCCAGGGAAGGTGTTCCTTTGCTTCCAAAACAGCTGAAAAAGGGAACGACTAGTGAAACCAAAGATCAGCCCCAGAGACCCTTGCCAGACAAAACTTCACTCATCAGTGCATCTCCATTAGTAATTATATTTAGAGATCTGTCACTGAGCTGGTCTTTAATTCATTGAATATATGCCCTCTTAATGCAATATAATACACATTTTTAATCAAAATGTCAACCTGTAATAAATCAGATGCCCAGAAGAAATGCAATTTTATTTTATCAGCAGAGTTCCTCTATCAACCAGACCTGTAATCGTGTCAAGAAAAGATGACAGGTGAGTTTGAAAAGACCTAACTTCCACAAAATGGTGTTTCTGGACATTAATTGTATTTCTGCCCTATTGCCCTTTGTTAATATACAGCCAAAATGAGACCACTCCATCATTTCACCCAGGATTGATCGATGGCTGTGTCCTGGTGCCCCTGTGTCCTTTGTCCCTGACTGTCCCCTTAACCCCATTCAAACGCTGAATTACAGGGGGCTGGTTACGGGTTTCCAGCATCTCCTGGAAGCTGCTGTTGGTCCAGACAGCACCTCCTCCAGGTCCTTGAGACTCCTGAGCAGTGCTTAGCCCTGCTCGCTTGACTATCAGTGTTGCTGCGTTCAGGCCAAGCCTTCCTCTCCCTTCCTCTGAGCATCTCCTCCTCGTCCTCCTCCTGATCTGGGACATCCACGGCTCCAGAGGATGGCTGCCTGCGGGGAGCCATGGATGAGCATTGCACGGTGCCGCCCCAGAGGCTTCTGCAGACCACATCTTCCAGCAGAAGAATACCTCCAACCTGGCACTCTCCTCCTTCCCCTTCCCCTCAGGGTGTCTCTGGCGTGTGGCAGGCAGGAGGTGACACGCCACGAGGTGACACACCACGAGGTGGCAGTGCCGCCTCAGCCATGCTTCGTGTCACCTGCCCACCCGCGCTCCCCTTCCTCCTCCCACAGCCGGGCCGGGGGCCACCCCCGGGGCAAGAGGCATCCCCCTCCCCCGAGGCCGCACGCAGGATGTCCAGCTGCAGGGCGAGCTCACGGGCACCTCTGCCTCGGCACCTAGCGATCGCCGTCGGGAGTCAGGGTAGCCCAGCTGCCTACTGCAAACACAGCCCCGGTGGGGCACAAGCACCATTCCCCCAGGCCGGGGGTAGTTTGGCACCCCCTGAGACCAGGGGAGAAAGTGAGGACCGAGCCATGGTGGAAGGTGCAAGGGGTTGTGAAGCCCTGGCAGGTTATCCCTGCTGACAGAGGTCCCAGTAACACCACCACCGGCAGGTTCCATCATGGAGCAGGGGCAAGGGCGCTGGAGGGAACCCCCAGATGACGTGAAATGGGGCCAGGCCCGAGGCAGAGGGGAAGGTGGGTGTACGCTGGAGTAGCCGGAGGATGTAGGTGCTCTGCAGAGCCCCAGGCGGCACCAAAACCAGCCCCAAAGAGGACAGTCCTGACCACTCTGGTGAGCATCTACTTCATCAGGGTGCCTGTCACTGCCTCCTGGCTCTGCTGCAGACCCAAGACTAGCCTTGCTCCAGATGCATTTTACCCTGAGCAACCCTCCTCCTTTCAGGATGGGCCATGGGGCAGTTCCTTCACCTCCTCGCTGCCCTCCCACCTGGTGGTGCCAGGCAAGACAGATGAGTGCCGTCCCAGCCTTGGACCGCTTCATGGAAGAGAAGAGATCCCCTGCAAAGCCTCCTCCTGTGTCCCCAGTGCCTGCAGGCACACACGAGCTGCCTGACAGCAGACAACAGGGAAAGATGCTCCTCTGCTGCTTTCCCTGCTGGGGATCCCCTGGGGTGCTGAGCCGTGACAGGCAGAAGCTGCCAGAGGAGGATAAATCAAGTAGCTAGCACCTACTTGTCACTGTACAGGAGACAGTGACAAAGGCAGGTGGTGGGAGATCAGCAGTACTGACAGGTACGGCACACACCTCTGCTGCCAGTCACCAGCATCCCAGTCTGCTGCCCACACCCCCCCAGGAGGTCAGGACAGCTCAGAGCATCTATGCTTCTGCAGTCACTGGCGGCTCAATGGTGCCCAAATAACCAAGCCCGTTTCACTGGCAACCTGTGGCTTTGCCCCTTTGAGCTGGCCTGCCCCAAAACACTCAACCTGTGCTGCTGACCACCAGATGCACTTCCTGCGCAATGCAATGGTGTTTGCGTGAATTCTGAAATCTCCCGTGCTTCAATCAACAAAACAAGAAGCTGGGATGGTTCAGGTGCCCTGGAAGGATTTCCTGAGCTGTCAGCTGAAAAATGAGGCTGCAAGGACACTTGCCACTCATGTCTAAAGTGTTTTAATTGCTGTCCCAGGGGATGTGTTATTCCTATGACAGACACTTACACAGAGCAGGTGCGAGGAGCAAAGACAGGTATGGGGTTTAAAAGCCAGGATTTCACACTTCAGCCCTGGCTTACTGTCTCCTGGCATTGATACACATCCCTGTTGGCTCACAGGATGAGATGAGACAGATGAGTGCTGAGCAGCCCTGGGCAATGCTGGGAAAGTTTGTCCCATCCCTCCTCCTCCTGTTCTCTCTTAAGGATGTCAGAGCTTGTCTATTTGACATCTATTGGTTAATTTGGCTGATTGTTTCCCATTCTTTAATGTATCTGTTATTTATTTATTCGCTTGTGGAAGAAGGAGTTCCGGATTGATCACTTTGGCATGTAAATGAGCTGCTCTAGTGCTTGTCACTGAAATTTGTAGATTGGGAGAGTTTGCAATCAAACACAGCCAGAATCTAAATTACATTTCAAGCAATAATAGCAGGGAGAAGACAGGAAGGATGTGCCATAAATAAGATGGGATCAGAGCAGGGTGCCCAGAGCTATGCTGACAACATGCCAGGAG